TAGCCAATCGCGTGTCCGAGGTACAACGTACCCTGCCGGAGGCGCGTTGGAATCATGTGTCTTCTAAAGACAACCCCGCTGACTGCGCCTCACGCGGACTGTCAGCTGAAGAACTGTCCTCTCATCCCCTGTGGTGGACAGGGCCGAGGTGGCTCGCCCGGTCGTCTACGTCGTGGCCGACCGACGACCGCTCTCTTTCTCTTGATTGTAATACCCATCAACAGCTCTACGACGAAACTCGCGCTCACGTCGTCCTCCACGTTGAAAGTGAGGACGAGTAGGAACTGATTCGCAAATTCTCAACGTGAACTCGATTAATCCGAGTCACGGCTTACGTACGACGCTTCATTTCTCGAGTAAAGCGTCAGAAATCCGAGCGTACGTCACTCGTATTGACAGTACCTGAGCTTCGCGAAGCCGAAATGATTTGGTTCCGCTACGCGCAAAAATTAGCATTTGCGCCGGAAATTAGAGCATTAAGCACTAATTCTTCTCTTTCGCGATCCAGCCCTCTAAGGGCTTTGCATCCGTTCGTAGATGAGAACGCCTTACTCCGTCTTGGCGGGCGGTTGCAGAACGCCGCTCTCCGCTACGACGAGCAGCATCCGATAATACTTCCCAGGGATTGGATCGCCGAGCTGCTGATTCAGCGCGCGCACAAAGCCACCCTGCACGGTGGAACGCAGCTGGTCATCCGCACGCTGCGACAGCGGCACTGGATAATCGGGTGTCGTAAGGCCGTTAAATCTCATATTCACGCGTGCGTTAAGTGCACGCGTGACTCCGCGCTGCCTTGCTCGCAACTCATGGGAGGGCTTCCCGCTTCTCGGGTTACCCCGTCGCCGCCGTTCGACCACACCGGAGTGGACTACGCCGGTCCCTTTAATGTTCTTCCGTTGGTCGGGCGCGGGCAAAAAACAAGAAAGAACTACGTCGCCTTATTCATTTGCCTCGCCACGAGGGCCGTGCACCTCGAGCTGGTCGAAGACTATTCCGCGGACGGTTTTCTGGCCGCGTTCCGTCGGTTCTCGTGTCGCCGCGGGTTGCCGCGTCGGATGTACAGTGATAACGGCACCAATTTCCACAGCGCCGACCGCGAACTGCAACGGCAGTTTCACGCGTTGAAGGATCACCCCGAATTGCGAGATGTTCTCGCCGCCGACGGCGTAGAATGGGAGTTCGTCCCGTCGACCGCTCCGCATTTTGGCGGCCTGTGGGAGGCCGGAGTGAAGAGCTTCAAAGCTCACTTAAAGCGAGTCGTCGGGGCTCGCACGATTTCTAGGGCGGAATTCGCGACGCTTCTGTGTCAGATAGAACCCTGCTTGAACTCGCGTCCGATTGCTGCTCTCAGCGACGACCCCAGCGACATGTCCGCGCTCACGCCCGGACACTTCTTGATAGGGCGTCCGATAATCGCGGTTCCGGAGGAGTTCGTGCTCGAGATTAATCCGGACCGCCTTTCCCGCTGGCAGCTAGTGAGCTCCATGCGGGAGCAATTCTGGCGTGCCTGGTCGCGTGATTATTTGTTGTCGCTTCAGACGAGAACCAAGTGGCGAGACGCCGTGCCAAATTTAGAAGTCGGTTATCTCGTCATTGTAAAGAACCCTTTGCTCCCTCCGAGCAAATGGGAACTCGCGAGAATCCAGCAGGTTCATCCCGGGTCCGACGGACTCGTCCGGGTGGTTACGATACGCACTGCGCGTTCTCTACTGAAGCGACCTATAACGCAACTGTACAAGTTGCCTATAAATTGTAAAGCGTCGGCGTTAGAAAGCGATTGATCGCCCTTTCTCCTTCTTGTTCGTTGTCCTTTGTTTTGTTTTGCGCCGATCCTTGTCAGCATCGCGCGCTTGGTTTGTACGTATCACGTACCAAACGTTCAATATATCTAGTTTAATTATATACATACTGTGTAACACGTTAACGACTGTACTCATTGAAATTCCAGTTTAATTCTGTTCGTTATATTACTTTAAGCTTATGTCGCGTCGGCTATCTTATTCGCGGAACAAGCGAATATTTTTGTATTTTGCCCCTACTTCTAGAACGAGTTAAGACGCGTTGTACATTTAGAGTTAATTACTTTATTGTGTTTTCGTCTCTACCTATAAGGTCATGTAAAGTTCTTTATTCGGCTAGCGTCAATCACTGTTGCCCTTTGCGTTCCTTAGCTCGCGTTGCGACTAAGAGAGAGTATCTTTGATCTCGCCCCGTCTTTTACTGTATTTCGTATCCGGCGTATACGAGGCGGGCGGTATGTTCAGAATTGGAGCGTTAATTCGTGCGGTCGTCGAGATCGCTCGAGAAACGTCTTCGCTTCGAATCGTTGATTCGACTTTCGAGCAATGTCGACGTCGAGAGCGAGTGTTTGTGTGCCGATGACGACGGGAGTCTTTCGACACAGAAAAAAGGCTCTCGTCGTACTTGGTGTGTTACCCTCTGATTCGTCGCTCGTTGCTGGGCCGATGTTATCGGCGAATCGCGTTATCGCTTCCACAATCAAAGCCGCGAGCCGTTCGAGTTCGCGCGACAAAAGGTCAGTACGAATCTGGAGAGCGACGGGTCGAGAGGGATCCGTCGACGCGTCCGTGCGAACAAATAAATAGTCTTCATTGTCGTTAACGGGGGAACCTGATCGAGGGCTCCCGCCGCCGGCAACACTTTCGATTGGCTGCAATTATTCAGTTTTCATTGTAACATATGTTTAAAGTACACATTTGAAATTTTTATTATCGTATATGATCTTTTTCTTAATTGTTCATTA